CCCAGCCTGGTGGGCCTGGGGTGGGGTGGGGCGGGGGGTGGGGTTCTGGGTGGTGATGGCAGACTTGGAAAGGAAGGCTGCTCTCCCCCCTCCCCACCGCCATTTGCACGTCTGAGCAGCTCTGGAGCTGGATATTCTTATGCATATCAGCTGTTGTGGGTTTGTGCTTAGGCTCAGCCGCTCGGAAGCCCCCCAGCCCGGTGGGAGAAGTTGGAGGAGGGGAAGGAAAAGAAGGAGGAAGAAATGAGCTTTCCAAACACCCCCACCCCCACCCCAGGCCCGAGGCTGGGCCGGAAGCCAGAGGCCACTGGGCAGAGGTGCCAGCAGAGTCCTCTCTCAGGAAGGGGCACGGTGGGGACCTCGATTTTCCAACAGACATGGCCGCCCGTGATTTCAGGGGCCCTGGTGGTGCGGCCGTTGAAGCACTTGGCACTAGCAGGGCGCCCGGTCGCTCCACAGGGTCAGCGGGGGAAGATGTGGCCAGCTGGTCCCAGAAGAGATGACCGGACCGCCAAGAACTCCCGAAGGCACGCTTTGCTGAAAGCCCAAGAGGCGGCCTGCCTTGCACAGGAAAAGGAAGCCGCCACAACATTCTGAGTGGCAGGACCACGAGGGTCATTCATGCCCAGCCCCCTGTCACGGGGCCAAGGCTGACCCATCAGGGACTCCAGACAGGGTTTCCAGGGACGGAAACCTCACCCCGACCCAGTGGAACCGCCAACTCTGTGGGTAGCCCAAGACGGTGGTGGTACACAGGGAAGGGGGAGCAAGAAAGGCAGAGCGGGCATAACGATGTCTTTGCCTGCTACCTAACCTGTGGAGCCCCCGTGGTGCGGAGCAGACCCCCCCCCCCCCTGCAATGCAGCTGCTAATCATGAGGTCAGTGGTTCTGTAACCGCTAGTCTTTCCTTGGGAGAAAGATGAAGCTGTCAAGCGGTCCCCAAAAAGCTTTTAAAGTCTTGGCAAAGCCAAGAAAGAGCAGAAACATGGGTGAAGGGAGACAGCGGTCGGTGTAAGATATGAAAACAATAACAACGTGTCAGTTGTCAAGGGTTCACAAGGGAGGGAGAGGAGAAAGGAGTGATACCAAGGGCTCAAGCAGAAAGAAAATGCTTAGACCATGCGGATGGCGGCATACGCACAAACGCGCTGGACACCCTTGATTATGGGTTGTGATACGAGCTGTAAGGGCCCCCAGTAAAATGATTTTTTAGAAGAACAGTTCTACTGTGGCAGCAGTTCTCAACCTGTGGGTCACGACCTGTTTGTGGTCGAACAACCTTTTCACAGGGGTTGCCGGATTCATGACAGTGGCAAAATGACAGCGATGAAGCAGCAACGAGAATAATTTTACGGTTGGGGGTCACCACACATGAGGAGCTGTATGAAAGGGTCGCGGCTTCAGGGAGGTGGGGAACCGCTGTTCTAGAAGGGAGAGCTGGAGGGCGGAGGAGCACTGAGATCCGCAGGCCCCTCCTCAGCGGAATGAATCCCAGGAGGCCGTGCTGGGTCCAGGGATAATTCTCCCTTTGTGGATGGGAGAGATCGGGACGCGATTCCCAGCCAAGGTCACCATGCTCGGCCATGGCCGCCTGTCACAGAGGCTGCAGCTGACGACGTTCCGTGGGAGCACCCAGGCGAGCACAGGAAAGCCTCTCCATCCACGGGACCCCCGTGCGTGAGTCACAGCAGGGCGGTCTGCAGCCCACCTCCACCGGGCTGTTTGGCTCTGTGTGTCCAGGGCTGGTCCGTCTCCCACCTGGCCGACTGACCGGCAGCCAAAGACAAGCACCAGCCGGATTCCAGGTAAGCTGAGCGCTGTCCAGAGACCAAGGGTGTCCCAGTCCCCACGGTCTGGGTCCCTACAACGCTGAGGGAGCTCCTTACCCCGGGGCACGTTGGAGCTAGAACGGCCTGAAGGATCTAGACACATGTCTGCTTGTCCGTCTCAGATCAGAACAGAAACCCTCTGGTCACCACCGGCCCAGAGAGGCAGGGCCAAAGAGTCCCTGGAAGCTGGGGACGCTGCTGTCTGCCCACCCTTGTCCTTGCCCTTCCTGCTTTTTGTTGTCACTTCCCGAAAGCCAGGGCGCATCCGAAAGCATCGCTACAATGTGACAGAAACCTTTATTAACGCGGAAGATCAGACTGAGGCCCCTCCCAGCGGGTCTGGTACCTCCTTCGTGAAGGAGACTCCTGGGCGCTTGCGTGAAGGGGTCACGGCAGAACAGAGGTGCTCTTCCTTTGGAGGGGGCCGGGCAGGGTGGGTCCGTGGAGCAGTTTAAGATTAAGAGGCGGACACCGCTTGGTGAGAGCCCCCGTGGTGCCCAGGAGACAGACCCACCTGCACAGTCGGAGATGGTCTTGCTCTCGTGGGCCGCACACCCCGTCCGGGGTCCTGCGCTGTCCTCACCACGGTGGCCGCCACTGCTGAGTCCATCCATCTTTTGCAGGGCCATCCTCTTTATCGACGCCCCCTTACTTGACCAAGCGTGCCGTCCTGCTCCAGGGACTGTCTCTCTAACGTGACCAGGCTTTGCCTTCCTACATTCAAAGGAGCTCAATATGGGTGTGTTGGTTCCCGTGGCAGCCTGGTGTACTTTCAGTGGTCTCCACCAGCACCCCAACTCAAACGCATCGCTGCTGCTGCTGCTGCTGCTGCTGCTGCTGCTGCTGCTGCTGCTGCTGCTGCTGCTGCTGCTGCTGCTGCTGCTGCTGCTGCTGCTTCTTCTTCTTCTTCTTCTTCTTCTTCTTCTTCTGTCCTCCCTATTCAATGTCCCACTTTCACAGGTGTAGGAGGTGATCGGAAAATTCCCTGGCTTGCGTCAGGCTTCCCGGAGTCCCCAAAGTAGCCTCCCTGCTGCCATCGCTTCTAAAGAGGTCTTGTGCAGCAGGTCGACCCAACACGGTGCGTTGTCTGAGCTCTTGACTGCTGCTCCCACGAGCACTGATTGTGGATCCGAGCCAGACGAAATCCAGGACCGGTTTTCTCCCCTCCGTTCATCATGCTATGACCTGTTGGTCCAGCTGTGAGGATTTGGGATTTTACACCAGGTGGTCATCCGCACCGAAGGCTGCCCTTGGTCTTCATTGGTAAGGGCTTCCTTCAAATCCTGTCCTCAGTTCAGCAAGCAAGCTTGCACCCTCTGCCTATCACAGGCTTTAATAATATCACAGGTTGTAATATTAATAATAATAATACAGAGGGGGAAGAAGTTGGGGAACGCCACCCCCCCAGCAGACAGAAGGCATGTTCTACAAAGAGTGCCCCCCCACCGCCCTTCCCTGCAGACCAGCTACCAACCCAGACTCGGTTCTCTCGAGGAAAACCACCCTGTGGCTCCACCCCCTCACGTGTCACAGTGTGGCTTCTCGTGGCTCAGGCCTTCCCCTCGCTGTCCCTCATTGCCCCTCAGGTGGCTCCTGCCTGGGCACCCACGTGGCGCTGTGCTTGTCCTCCCCCTGGTGGTGGCCCTTCACCACGGAGCCCCGGTGGCGGAGTGGTTACAGGCATACCAGCTGCTCACTGCACGGTCCACCGTTAGAAACCACCAGCTGCCCCACGGGGGTGGGGTGTGTGTGTGCTGGATGATATTCACTGTCTCGCTCTTTCCCGGAGGCTCAGGTGTGTTCAAGACTCAGTCCCCCATCCTCTGGAACCCGCTGTGGCCGAGCAGGCATCGCTGCTGGGGCAGCCGTGGAGGTTCACGCCGCGTGCCCTCATCCGCGATGGGCTAGCACTGTGGAAGGAAGCCTTCAACCAGCGCCCAGGCGCCTAGCCCATCTCTGTGGGGTGTGTCCCACTGGGATGAGCCCTGGGTGTCCAGTTAGTGGAGGATCACCAGCTCAGCCTCCAGACAGGTGGGTGACAACAGGAAACCAGGGGATCCCCAGCTAATCCAGCTGACCGCCCTCCTCCCGTGGGGGCCGGTGTCCAATGGCTGCAAACAGCAAGCCCCCTCGGAGTGTGTGCAGCCTGTCGCTTGGTCTAGGCTGCCCTACGGGACCTGGGAGACAGCCCTTTGCTGGTTTCCCATGGCTCAGGGTCCCCCTAGCCTGGGCTTCAAACTGGGGTGCGAGGTGCTTTAGTGTCCACATGGGTCAGGTCAACCTGTCCGTCCACATCAAGCTTCAAAACAAGCTGAGGTTCCCTCGGCGCCAGAAGATCCACACCTCCAAGAAGTGGGGCTTCTCTGAGTTTCAGGGGGATGAGTTTGAAGAGCACCTCATCCCCGATGGCAGTGGGTTCAACTCCGTCCCTACAG